CCTCTATTTCACTGAATGACCATTTTTTCCCCTGCAGGATTATACTCAGTTTTGCTGGGTAGGTGATTCTTGGTTGTAATCCTATCTCTTTTGTCCTCTGGAATATTATATTCCATGCCCTCTGGACCCTTAATGTAGAAGCTGCTAAACTCTTGTGTTATCCTGATTGTGTTTCCACAATACTTGAATTATTTCTTTCTGGCTGCTTGCAATATTTTCTCTTTGACCTGAGAACTCTGGATTTGGCTGCAATATTCCTAGGAGTTTTCCTTTGGGGAGCTCTTTTAGCAATTGATGGATTCTTTCCATTTCTATTTTACTCTCTGGTTCTACAATATCAGGGCAGTTTTCCTTGATCATTTCTTGAAAGATGATGTCTAGGCTCTTTTTTTGATCATGGCTTTCAGATAGTCCAATACTTTTTAAGTTCTTTCTCCTGGATCTATTTTCCAGGTCAGTTGTTTTTCCAATGAGATATTTCACATTGTTTTCTATTTTTTCTTTCTTTTGGATTAGTTTTACAGTGCCTTGATTTCTCAAATTGTCATGAGTTTCCAGTTGCTCCATTCTAATTTTTAAGGAAGTATTTTCTTAAGTAAGCTTTTGGACTTTTTTTTCCATTTGGCCAGTTTTGCTTTTTAGAGCATTCTTCTCCTCATTGGCTTTTTGGACCTCTTTTGCCATTTGGGTTAGACTATTTTTTAAGGTGTTATTTTCTTCAGTATTTTTTTGGGTCTCCTTTAGCAAGCTGTTGACTTGTTTTTCATGATTTTCTGGCATCACTGTCATTTGTCTTCCCAGTTTTTCCTCTTCTTCTCTTACTTGCTTCTCAAAAATCCTTTTTGAGCTCTTCCAAGGCCTGGGACTGATTCATATTTTTCTTGGAGCTTTGGATATAGGAGTTTTGACTTTGTTGTCTTCTTCTGGTTGTATGTTTTGATCTTCTTTGTTACCAAAAAAAGATTCTGTGGTCTGACTCTTTTTGCAAGGTTTGCTCATGATCCCAATCAATTACTTGAGTTACAGACTCTTTGTTAAGGTAAAGGTCTGCTTCCAATGTGGAGAATGTACTGACCCAAGCTTCGGGGGTTTATACAGCTGTTTTCAGAGATACTTCTAGGGACCTGTAAATTTTCCGTTCTTCCAAGCGCTCCTTCTTCCCCCAGGACCACCACCCAGAACTGTGACCCAGATCCAAGCACGGGCAAAGCAAGAGAATACTGCACCAGCAGAGAGATCCTTGCAGTCCCCCTCTGATCAATCACTCGATTCCCCCTCAGTCTGTGGGCCAGAAGCTCAGGAAGCAGATGCCGTCCCAGGGCCACGCTCAGGAACTGGGGCTGGGACCTAGCTTTTCTCTGTCACTGCAGAAACAGACTTTTCCCACTGACCTTCTAGGTTGTCTTTGGTGTTTGTGGGTTGAGAGTTGTAGAAACTGCCAGAGCTGCCCGTGATTCAGTCCTTTGAGGCCTGCTCCAGGTTTGCTGAGGCCTGCCTTGTCTGTGTGCCCACGTCGAACTGAGCTCCTCTCCCCACCCGGTGCAATATACCTTTCTGATCAACCATTCAGGTTGTCTTGGGCTGGAAATTTGTTTCACTCTGTCTTTTTGTGGGTTCTACTGCTTCAGAATTTATTTAGAGCCAGTTTTTTTTACAGGTATTTGGAGGGGTTTGGGGGAGAGGTCAAGCAAGTCACTGCTTTCACTCCGCCATCTTGGCTCCGCCTCATAATTTTTTTAAGGTACAATAATATTCCGTTATGTTTCTAGACAAATGGTGCAATTCCCCAATTGATAGACACCCTTGTCTTTTCAACTTTTTTTGCTACAATAAATATTTTTGCACATGTAAGCTGTTTTTTTCTGTCTCTTTGGGGTGGGGGATTATGTACATAATTGTGGCAATTTTAGTGTCTTTGAGTATAGTTCCAAATTGCTTTCCAGAGTGGTTGGACCAATTCACTCCTCCCACCAGAAGTATATTATTATACTAGTCCTTCTGCAGTCCCTCCCATAGTTGTCTTTTTTCTTTTTTGGCATCTTTGCCAAATTGTGAGTTAGAACTTATTTTAATTTTTATTTCTTTTATTTGTTGTGATTTGGAACATTTTTTCTGTACTGTTGATAGCCTGCATTTCTTCTTTTAACACTGAATGCTAAGTAGTTTCTGTGATTAGTGTTGTCTAGTATAATTTAAAGTCTAAAAGTATTTCCTTTTAATTCCTGCTTCCTCCCGTATTATTTCCCTTGAAATCTATTTTTCCAGAACAATTTTATTTTATCTAGACACTTCAAGTAACTCTTTTTAGTATTGCATTTTTATTTTATTGAGTACTGATATCCGGCCAGTATTTTTAAAATCAATAAATAACGAGAACAGAGGAAATTTTGAAAATAAGAGAAGTAGGCAAATTGGAAAGAAAAGCAATGCAATTAATAAAAATAATATCTGATTCTTGGAAAAGACAATTCTTTCTATATGCCATCCTTTCAATTCTAGACTTTTAGGAATTCTAAACATGCCAGCCTATAATTTGAAATATCCAGCATGATACAGTGAAATGACTGCTAGATCTGGAGTCAGAGTAATTGGGTTAGATTCCTGACTCTGTTACTTGTTACCTGGGTGGCCTTGGGCAAGTCACATAACCTCTTTGACCTTCTGTTTCCTTACTCATAAAAAGATGCCTTGAATTGGGTGAGATCACCTAAACTGCACGAGTAATGTCCTGTATTCGGATTTTTGTCTACTTACCTCACCCCTCCTCCTGACCCTAAAATATCTTTATTTTGTTGTTAGTTGTTTCTGTGGTGCTGACTCTTTATGACCCCATTTGAGGTTTTGTTGGCAAAAATACTGGAGTGGTTTGCCATTTCCTTCTCCAGCTCATTTTATACATGAGAAAAGTGAGTCAAACAAGATTAAGTGACTTGTCCAGGGTCACACAGCTAGTATCTGAGGCTGGATTTGATCTCAGGTTTTCCTGACTCCAGGCCTGGTGCCCTATCCACTGTGCCAGCTAACTGACCCTAGGAATTGAACAGGAAAATGTTATGTGGTTATTCCTCTCCTGCATGGGATTCTGATGGTCATATGATAAAGTGGATGGGGGGCGCAGATCTTAGGATAAGGAAGACCTGTGTCACCTAGCTGTCTTCCTCCCCTCCCCTACCTCCCTCTCTTCTTTTTAAGGTCAGTTTAGGTTCAGCCTCCAGCAGGAATGAATATTTTATGCTTCTCTGTTCCAACCCTTTCCTGTTCATTTAGTCAGACTCTAACTGATATTCCTCCATTTGCTTAGATTGTAAAAACCTCAGTAAGGGAAGAGACTTTCATTTTAATCTTTGTATCTTTAGTACTTGGCATATTACCTTGTACTTAATAAACATTTGACAATGTTTTTGTCATTGAATCAAATACATTCCTTTCCAGTTGAAGATAATTCCATTTGATAGAAAAACCAGTTTATTAGTTAACTTTCTATGCACAGTGAACAGGGTTCTTATTCCTTTTTTGATGTTGTTCTTCTCCAGCATAGTAAAGAAAACTGTTTTTGTTGCTTTGTATTTCTGTTTTCCTGACATTATTCTTAAAGGACCATGTCATTTTTTTTTTTCTGTTCATCATTGTTTTCCTGAATTCTCTTCCATTGTATTTAAGGTCCTGAGTTAGTTGAGATCTCTCAAGCCATTATCAATCTCTCTTCTATTAAATCTATGATGATGGAGAATATATAAAGAAATGCAGAGACATTTTTTGACAACTTTTCCCCTAATAACCAATCAGAACTGCTGGTAGGTAGTGAATTCCACTTCATCTTAATTTCTTTCTTATTCTTGTCTTTTCTTCTGTGGTCTGGTAAAGCTGGAAAGAATCAGTGACATAACCATGAAGGAAGTACAAAGAACCTAGTTAATCAGCACCTGAATCTAAAGTGTTGATGGCCCATGACCATTAAAAAAAAAAAAGGAAAAGAAAAATAATTTCAGCTGTTTAGAACTAGTGAGCATCAGACCTGAATTTGAATCCAGGATCTTTTACTAAAAAGCTTTGTGTTCTTTTGTAAATCTCAATGTCTCAGGGAATTAGCTTCCTAAATTTGAGGAAATAGGACTTGTGCCAACATCTTCCCAGCTCAAATGTTAGTTCTATAAAATAAAACCTGTCTATATCACCTGAAACTTTGCAGAAATCAGTTTGTAAATAATATTTCAAAGGGAAGAAAGATACCGAAAAGTGAATTTACTTGTAAGTAGTCTTTTTGTTTTAAGAGTTTCAGGATCATTGTGTTGAGGATCACTTTGGTTAATTTATAAATTTGAGAATCTGTATTAAGTGCTATAATCAGAATTTTCATAGATGTTTTTTGTGACTTTCCCTTTAGGTTGGCACATATATTGAGTTTGCAGAAGACATTCAGACCCTGAATTCAGAATGACTATGGTGATAGTGATTAATACCTTGTAATTAATGATTAACTATGATTAATACCATGGAGAAGTGATTAAAAGGAAACAAAATAAAGTAAATGAATTGGTGTCATTGTTTTAGTTTTGTATGTTTTAAAAACTGATGTTTACTTTGTTTCCTATTCTTCCCACCCTCTTTACTCCTCTGCTTCCAGAGCTACCAGGCTGATGCTGAAAAGGGCAGACCCACAGTGAGAAATATCAACATTTTACAAGTTTAAAATATAATTTTGGTTGGGGAAAACATAGCTATTTTCATTCCTTCTGCTTAAGGTCAGAAATGACTCACCTTGATTCTTTCATTTGGTCAACAGATTACATTGTGCTTTGAACTTCTAGATTCCCAAAGGCGCTGGAGAATCTGTCAAGTTACTTGGAAAGTTGAGTTAGAGTACCAGCTTAGAAATGACCTTGGAATGATCCATGTGTAGAGTTCACTAAAATATACTATAGTGTGACTTTATTGTCAGTTACGATTGTTTTGCATCTTAAATGAACACATTATCTATTGAATCATTATTTTAACCGTTTTCTTTTCTTTTCTTATCTTTTCCAACAGTTGGACAGAGAGACTCCGAAAACATGATTGAAAAAGATGATGTGGATAATACTCTGGTAGCTAGGTCAGCATCTAGTGTGCAGGATGTTCAGGAGACTGTGCATGAAATAATTGAGCAAATGCCTTTGTCAGAAGATAATATAGAAGAGTTGGAGCAACCTACAGAATCACAGTCTAATGATGTTGGATTTAAAAAGGTTTTTAAATTCGTTGGCTTTAAATTTACTGTGAAAAAGGATAAGAATGATAAATCCGACCCTGTTGAATTACTCACAGTCAAAAAAGATGAATATGATGGTATGGGAACAAATGGAGCTGATGAGCATCAAGATTCTGGTTCAGAAAATGAAGCTTTACCTAAAGAGACTGAATTGACCCAGTTAGTTGGGACAGATGAAGAAAGTCAGAGAGACAGTGCAGATCCTGAGGAAGGCAAGAATTCTGAGGAAGAGAAACAAGAGAAAGTAGGCAACAAATCTTCTGAATCTGAGAGTATGTCATCATTCAAAAAGTTTTTCAGTCTTGGTTGGGCTGGCTGGAGAAAAAAGACCAGTTTTAGGAAATCTAAGGAGGATGAGCCAGAGATTTCTGAGAAGAAAAAGGAGCAAGAGGTGGGGAAAGGAGATGTAGTTGAAATTGATGAAGAGAAGAAAGAGGATACTACTGAACAGTTAACTGTTTCTGAACATCTACCCCCCCAGGAGGCCATTCAAAGTATAAAAGATTCCAGTGTGTCTGAGAATGAAAAAGTACATAGATCTCCTGAAGATCAAGTTCAAGAAGCACAAATATCTTCTGAAGAGAAAGCTGCTCCTTTAGCCACAGAGGTGTTTGATGAAAAAGTAGAGACGGTAGCAGAAGTTCATGTCAGTACTGTGGAAGAGCAAGAGCAAACAGAAGATCAAAGCGCTGAGGTAGAACAGGTTGTTGGGTCTTTGTTCCTTGCAGCAGCTGAAACGAGTGCAGATTTGCAAAAAGCTGAAGTGACACAGAAGCTGGTCAAGACCAAAGAATTGGTGGGTGCCTCTGGAGATGACTGTGTTAAACTAGTTGAACTAAGTCCTGTAGAATCAGCTTTGTGTCAGCCACATGAGGGCATCACAAATGAGGTAGAAATGCTGTCCTCACAAGAAAGAGGGAGATTGCAAGGAAGCCCATTAAAGAAACTTTTTACTGGTACTGGCTTAAAAAAACTGTCTGGAAAGAAACATAAGGGGAAAAGAGGAGATGATGAAATAAAGCCAGAGGAATCAGGGGAACTTACACAAGCATCAGTAGATTCTCCAGAAACTCCAGAGGAACAAAAGGGTGAAAGCTCTGCTTCATCCCCCGAAGAATTGGCTGAGGCTATCTCTGTAGAGACGGGTATCATAGAAGCACCACAAGAGGTTGAGATTGAAGAAGAAGGTACTACTTCAGATGGAGAGAGAAAGAGAGAAGGTGTTACTCCATGGGCATCTTTTAAAAAGATGGTGACGCCCAAGAAACGTGTTAGAAGGCTTTCTGAAAGTGACAAAGAAGATGAAGTTGAGAAAGTAAAGAGTGCCACTCTGTCTTCAACTGAAAGTGCAGCCTCTGATAATCAGGAGGAGATGAAAGGACATGGGGATGATCAGAAGACAGAAGAGCCAAAGCGTAAGGTTGATACTTCAGTATCCTGGGAAGCCTTAATTTGTGTAGGATCTTCCAAGAAAAGAGCAAGGAAGTCGTCATCTTCTGATGAAGAAGGAGGGTCTAAAGTTGTTAGTGGAGATTCCCAGAAAACAGAAGATGCAGGAAAAAACAAGGAATCTGGGACAGAAATAACACATATGCATTCCCACGAAGGTGATCAAGGGCAGATAAATTCTTCCCCTGAGCTAGCTGGAAGCCCACTTGAAGGTGAAGGCATTTCCACATGGGTGTCATTTAAAAGATTAGTTACTCCAAGGAAAAAGTCAAAATCAAAAATGGAAGAGAGACATGAGGAATCTGTAACTGTTTCTGGCATAGAACATTCTGCTTCAGATGCAGAACCTGTGAAAGAAGAATCTTGGGTTTCAATCAAGAAACTCATTCCTGGTCGAAGAAAGAAAAGGGTAGATGAGAAACAAGAACAAGTTCCTGTTGAAGAAGACCAGACGGGAGTTAATGAAGATGATTCTGATATCCCAGCTGTTGTTCCTTTATCTGAGTATGATGCAGCAGAACAAGAGAAACTTGAAGCCCAACAAGCAAAAAACATTGAAGCAGCAAAAACAGGTCTACATGAGGTGAAATCTGGACAAGCAGAAGGTCCAGGAACAGAGGAGACTATTGAGGGACTGGTTCATGCAGTTGGTGTGACTGTTGTAGAGGGGGAGAGAGCAGTTACAAGTATTGAAGAAAGGTCACCATCTTGGATTTCTGCTAAAATTACAGAACCTGTTGAAGAAGCAGCAGATCAACTGAAACAGCAGACTGAGGAGATACTTGAAAAAGAAGTCCTTGTGGAAGTACCTGTTACTAAAACCTTGCCAGATATAAAAGACACTAGCAGTGACACTATTGTCAGTGAGCTGGAGTTAACTTCTGAAGCAGTGACAGCTCCAGAAGAGGCAGCAGAAATAACAGAAGCCTCTTGTGCGGAAGAGACTACTGAAATGGTTTCTGCAGTTTCACAGTTGACTGACTCTCCTGATACTACAGAAGAAGCTACACCTGTGCAGGAGGTAGAAGACGACACACCCAATTTAGAAGCTCTTAAGCAGCGAACTCAGGAAATAATTCAGGCAGTTATAGAAAAAGTTAAGCAATCAGAAGAATCTGAGATTACAGAAACAGTTGTTTCAGGAGACACACTTTTAACAGTTCAGAATCTTGAAACTAAAATACCAGAGAAAGTGAGTGTGAAAAAAGCTGAACAAAGTGGTGATCACCAAGAGGTCAACTTAGAAATTGGAGAAGCAGCTGTGCTAGACAACAGTAAAATGATGCATGCTGAGATGCAGGAACAGGTACAAGCAGCAAAATCTGAAGATATAACCATTAATGGTGGGCAACAAGAAATAATTGAACAAACACCTTCAGAAAAAACCTTTAATATTAATGAAGTTGAAAGGAATATAGAGGTGAAGGAATGTAAATCATATACTGATTTCACAACTTACCAAGCTGAGACTACAGGCATTGAAACATCACAAATTCCAATGGAACCGGTAACACCAGTTGAAATAAGTACAGATGAAGTTACTCTTGTGGTACATTTTGAAGATAAAAGTATAAAACAGCAAAAAGGCAGTGATGTTCGTGACTCTGTACCTGCATTAGGATCTGAAATTGTAGAAACAACACGGGCCACTGTATCAAGTGATAAGCCTCCAGAAAGTCCTGGTTTCCACTCTTCACAGGGAAACAAAGAAAAATCTAAAGTGGAAGAAGTTCCAGTACCTGATGAGGAGCAGATAGTTGTGAAAATGGTGCAGAACCTTTCAGGGACTGAAGTCGTTCAAGATTCAGGTCCTTTTGTTGATCAGGAAACGAAAGAGACAATAATTGCAAAAGAACAGGTCTCTTTAGACACGGAAGTGATGGAGTTACTTGATCAGACAAAGATAGACCAAATTGAACTGAAAGATGAAAAAGTTACTGAAAGAGACAAATTAGAATATGAAAACAATTCTGAAAAGGTTGAACTTCAGATCAGTTCTTACTCAGCTTCAGTGGAGGAAGAGGTCTTGGTTCAGGAAGAGATAGTGTCCTCTGAAGTTCTCAAAGTTCAGAGGTCTGAGGCTCAAGAAGCATCTTTGCCATTAACAGCGGCGGCAATAGTCGAGAAGGCTGTAGCAGAAGCTGTAAAACTTTCAGAAACATCACCTGAAACTCTGGATTCTGTAAATGTTCAATTAGTAACTGAAAAAATACCTTCTGAAAGTATGCAAGACTCTGCTACTGCTTGGTCAGACCAAGCAGTAGTCATGGAAAAGCATTCTCTCACAGAGTCTGTACTTCAAGAAAAATCAAAAACAGTAGTGGTATCTGCTATTACAGAGACTATCAAAAGCTCCGGCTTCATGAAAAGACCGGAGGAAGAGTCCCAGAAACCGTCAGATGCAGCCAGTGTTGAAGTTGTTTCTCAGGAAGTCGAACCAACTCTAACCCAAGTAGAACTTGGAAAGGATGAAGATGATATTTTGACCATCAAAACCCAGAGTACCGAAATTGTGCAAAATGTCATTCAGACTGCTGTTGATCAACTTGTTAGTGCCAAAGATCTAAACACTCAGACTTCTGGACTTAATGCAGAGGAGCAGGCTCAGATAAGAAAATCTGAAGAGGAGGATACCATACATGTATCTGAAAGAAATGAAAGTGAAGTTAAATCTGTTCCAACTGAAAACTTAGGGCCAGCAGCTGTTGAGCAAATTCCAGATGTGCCAGTAATTTCTGGTATTTACAAAGAAGTCTCTGTTTCTGAAGGTTCTGAAAGGGTAGTGGCCATTGAGGTACAGATACCTGATTTAAAGTCAGGTGAGCAGCAACATGAAGAAACAGCACCACAGCTCGAAGAAAAAAAAGAAGCCATTGAAACAAAGACTGAGCCAAAAATTGACAGTGCAACATCAGGAGAAGCACCTAAAGGAGAAACCGAAGATGACATTGCAAATGCCCACTCAGATGATCCAAAATTAGTACCAGGGGAAAGTAATGGCCTATACAAAGAGTCCATAGATTCAAATGGACCAAAACTAAAGGAAACTGTCCAGGGCCTGGAATACCAAGAAAGACTAGTACTAAAGGGAGAAAAAGAAATTTCTAACCAGTCAGTAGATGATACCAAAACACAGACACAAGAGGAGGTACATAAACATGATGAGCCTTGTGAGTCTCCACCAAAATCAGCACCTAAGGAGTCAAGAGGCGTAATGTAAGTACAGTGCCTTTTTTCTTGTAAAATAATATTCCATGTTTGTTATACATGTACAATTTTATGTATATTCTAATTTGTTCACAGTAGTCATATGACCATTTACAGCCTTGTGGAAGAGGGAACTCAAAAAGTTCAAGTGACAGTCTTGATCCCCTACTCTAGGACGTACATAGCCATGCTTCTACCAGTCTAATTCTATCTGAAACAATTTTTTTTAAAATTCCAGCTCGTTTTTTTTTCCTAAGGATAAATAGCAACAATAATCTTTGTTGTGTAGTCCCAGTAATGACACAGAATGAATGAATGTTTACAACGCTAAATTTGGCCTATTTAAATATGCAATCAAAGGCCTTGAGGCATTATAAGAAATGAATTGGGTAATGGACATGGCATGCAGGTTTTCCCTTAAGCCAGTCAGTCTGGTTCTGAGAAGTAAAATTAACTTTTTGAATGAGCTGTGAAAAGAAATTATCTGACTTAGTTTTATTGGTTGTTATAAGGCAAATTTCTGTCATCCTTAAAATAGCATATGAGCAACAATAAGCTAACATTTCTGCTTCATTTTTAATGGTTTATTGATGCTTTTGTGTTTTGTATTAAAAATGGCCTTCCTGCCATTGATCCCACCCCTGTGAGAAAAGCAAAAAAACTAACACTTAACAAAAATGACAAAGAAAACAACATTTTCTAATGGTATATGCTTCTTGTAGTTTCCCACTCTGTTTCTGAGGAGGCAATTGTAGTCTGTTTTCTGGAACCAAGGATAGCTACTGTAATTAATATGTTAGGCTACCTTGTAGTGTTTTTAAGTTGTTTGGAACATTGTATTCCTGATTCTGCTTATTCCGGTCTATCAGGACTTATGTCTCAATTTTCTGCATTTCTCATTGGTCACTTATTATGACAGAATTGTGTCCCATTACATTTGTATATCATAATTTGTTCATTTTCCATTCTTCTGGCACCTACTTTGCTTCCTGGTTTTTTTTTTTGTTTTTTTTTTTTGCCCCCCACAAGTGTGGTTTTTGTGAATAGGTTGATATTCATGTTGCTTAATGAGAAGTTGGGTGGCAGCATAGTGGGGAGAGAGAGTTGGTCTAGAGTCCTGATAGCATAGTAGGGAGAGAGAGTTGGTCTAGACTCCTGACAGCCCATATGGGGTTATGACTCACAGTTTAAGAAGTGCTGAAGGGGTTATGAGTGGAAAAAGTTTAAGCCCTGGACTATAGAGTGAGGAGAACCACCTAAGTTTCAATACTGCTTCTGACCCATGATGACTGTGTGATTCTGGGAAAGGTCCTTAACCTTTCAGAGCTTCAAGCAACTCTTAAGAGTATGAGGGGCAGAGAAAAGAGCCTATCTGCATTGGTAGAAATTCTTCATTGGGAGCTCCCTTCATTGATGATGAACATGTTATTTTTTTTTAATGGTTTGGTATACAGTTCACAAAGTATTCTAACTTAAAACTCTATAAAGTGCTTGCCTCAGATATTGTTACTCCCATTTTACTGATGAGAAAAATGATACTGAGAAGGGTAGAGTGACTTGCCGTGGTCACACAGATGTTTCAGGTGCAGATTTGATCCCAAGTCCCATAGAATCTACAAATTTCAGAATTGAAGGGGGCCTTAAAAGTCATCTAGTCCAACCTATAACTGAATCCTACAGCTCACTCAGTTAGCCTTGTCTTAAAGATCTGTCTATGTAAACCTGTTACTTCCTGAACCAGTACTCTCCCACTTTTGGTTAGTTCTAATTGTTTTTCTTTACATTACGCCTAAATTTTTCTCTTTGTAACTTCCTATATTGCCTGTTTCTGTTCTCTGAGAGAGAAAAAAAAAAGTCAAGTTTCTCTTCCACTTCATAGTCCTTCAAATACTTGAAGACTGGCTCCTAGGCTCCTTGATCATAGATGTAGATTTTTTGCCTGTGTCTTCTCTTCCATAAGTTGTACATTTCCAGGATCTTCAACCAGTACAAGTATGGCATGGTTTTCAATATCCTGGCTACCTTTCTCTTGGTGTTCCCCATCTCATCCATAACTTCAAATGTGGCGATACTAAAAACTAAGTACAATAACCTAAATAGGGTTTGAGCAGGGTGGTCATAATAAAAATTACTTACCTTTAGACAGTGCTTTAAGGGTTTCGAAGCCCTTTACATGCATGTGATCTTGAACAACATTGTTGAACAGCAGCTCCTCCTAGGTACATGATAATATTTTTGGTTATTTAAATTTTTTTATTTTCTAAACTTCAACACACAAAAAAATTCCACATGCAAAGTAGATTACATATGAAACCATGAACCTGGACACAGTACTTGATTTCAAAAGTATATTAATAAATTCATCATGTTTCTTTCAAAGCTATTCTGTTTGTGTTTCCTTTTGAATTTCTGTTCTCTTCTGCACATTTAAAAAGATTTTCAGTGACCTTCTTGCTTTAATTTGTGGGTGCTTTTTTTGGTAACCACCTTTTCAGTAACTCCCCTTTCCACCTGATGGTCCCATCCTCAAATGGGAAAACAAAAACAACAAATCCACACATAGGCATAGTCAAGCAAAATAAATCCCCAGATTTACCACATCCAAAAATATATATCATTCTGCACCTTGAGTTTATCATTCTGTTAAAAGGTAGATAGAAGTATTCTTTATTATAAGACCTTGAATTATGTTTGATCGTAGATCTTAAGTCTTTCAAAAAATGTTTTTCTTTTCAAGGTATATACTATCACTATCTTCATTTATAAAGGAAATTACTCAGACCCAGAGATTAAATAAGTGACTTGCTCATGGTTGTAGAGCTAGTGTCAGACCTGAACCTAGGTCTCTCTGGACTCCCAGCCTTTTGCTTTTGCCACCCTACCACTTTGAATACAGTAGGACTCTACACCCTCTATGCTGTGCTTCTCATAAAGGTCCTCAAGCTTGTGTTAGGTTCCTCTCCCCTACCCCCATCTATTCCCCTCCAACTCTATACCTTTTTCAGATAAACTTCTCTCCAGCCATTCTTTCCACATGCTTTGTATGTGTATGCTTGATTTTTTTCTAATACAAGTATAAGTCATCCCTATTCATTAATTAGATTTATCTTAATTTTCTAGTCTGTTGATATTTTTGATGCTGACTTTGGTATCTGATGTGTAGCTATCTCTCCTAGGTTTATGTTTCTGAAAATTTGATAAAACATAGCATCTCCTTTATCCAAGTTACTGATGATAAAACTTAAACAGCACAGGGTCAGGCACAAATAAATGTTACTTCAGGTTGAATCAACCCATTAATGACTTCTCTTTGGGATTTGGCGTGGAGGCTTACTGGTGGAATTGACGGAGGCTTACAGCACAGGGTCAGGCACAAATAAATGTTACTTCAAGTTGAATCAACCCATTAATGACTTCTCTTTGGGATCTGGCGAGGAGGCTTACTGGTGGAATTGACGGAGGCTTGGGATAACTTCCCACACTCCCACAATTCTAGCCAGGACTGTTATGAGCTCGGAAGTTGTGGTATAGCCCTGGGGCTGTTTTTTGTTAACTTTACCCCTAGATGAATTGATCTGGGACTTTCCCTTTTGGGAAAGAAGAATATAAAAGTGTTTTTTTTAGGACTTTGGCTAGAGAGCTCCTGAGATGTCTGATTGACTGCTTTTAATCTCCTTGTCTCTTGGGACAGTTACTCACTGGTCTAACTGTAGTACCATTTAGCCTATCTCTTCAGCTTATCCGTAGAATATCTTGAGAGATCTTTATTAAATTCTTTGCTCGAAGCTATTAAATGAACTCTATCTACAGCACTCCCTTGATCCTGATCAAAAAAGGAAATAAAGCTATTCTCAACCCATTTGTTCATTGCTTCCTTTTCCGACTTAAAGGTTACCCCTTTCCTTTTTAAATGTTCACATTCCTTTAAGTTCCAGAATTTTTCCAGGATTAGAAATCGGTATCACTGGTCGATTGTTTTCAGATTTCATTCTCTGAAATTATAACTAGAATAGACCACTCTGTTTTACTACAGGATGGAAATTGCCCCAAGGTTGGGAAGTTATATTCCTCTTAGGAGGAAGGCAGGGGTTAGAGCCTGATGGTGAGGTGAGTTACAGTAATGGGACATGGGTAGACTTATTCCCATATTGGTCTGGTAACTGAAAAGGGAAGCTGGACAAAGCCTGCCTCATTAAGTTCTGCAACTTTTCCTGTGGAAGGAGCTGTGTGTGAGGTCATTAAGACCCGAGATTGCACAGCCTAGAGGTAGAAGGAAGGGGTTGGGTGGAGATATAGGGTCTGGGTTGTATTTTACCAAAAACAGCTGCCTCCCCAATTCTGTGATCCTATCCCCTTCCAAAGTTTTGCCCTACCCAACTACTCAAGTTTTCCTGTGTCATAGAGCCCAGGATACAAATGAAAAAGTTGAGGAATAGAATCACCTTCACCTGTGCCCTAAGATAACTGCTCCCAAAATTTTAGATAGGAGCAGAGGGGAGGCATTGTGTTTCAATGGAAAGAATACTGGATTTGGATTTAGAGCAGCACTTCTTAAACTGGGGGTCAAGACTCCATATAGAGTTGCTGAAGGGGTTGAGAGTGGAAAATGTTTAAGAAGCCTTGATTTAGAGTATCTGTGTGGTTTTGGGCAAGTCATTTCCCAGACCTTTAGTTTAAAAATTTTGCAAATGAAGATGGCTTTGAGATGGGGGTGTTCTGGGTATGTATACTTCAAGGATTCAAGAAGTGCTTTTGCGGGCCTTGAAGCCTAGAGTTCTCTGCAGTCTCACAGAATGGTCAGGAAATAGGAAAGGGAATGGGGGCTGGGGAGGAAGCACTAGGCTGTGCAGGCTGTTTGAGGTCTCTGGTAGTGCCCCAAGTTTCTGCATTGGATCTGCACTGCTTTATTTTTCAATCACTTGGAATTGGATGACAGGATCCAAAAAAATCTTGGCATGCTAGAGCTTTGGGGTGAATCAATTCAATAGGGATACATACATGTAAAGTCATAAATGAAAAAATCAACTTTAAAAGTACAGAAAGGGGAGTTGTGGGTAGACAACATTTTGTCTGAAAAAGATCCAGTGGTTTTTTTGGATTTCAGTAATGTACAACAACAGTGATCTTGGGCTATATTAAGAGAGGCATATATAGACCATCTCCCAGGAATTAAGGAGATGATAACTCTTATGTAATCTGTGCTAGCCAGAACACAGCGGTAGTGTTAAGCTTAGTTGTCTTGCCATATTTTTAAATTCCATCGGTAGGCTAGTGAGCATTCAGAGAAAGGCAGCCTGAAAAGGCTATATATTTTCTTATCTGTGTATTATTAGGTATTTGGCATCAAGAAACACATTCCAGTTTTATAGCCACAGTCCAAAAGAAAGTGTATCTTAATGCTTTGTGGTCACTACTCCAAATGGTCTGTACTTAAGTTTATAAAATTAAGAAAAATAAGATTTTGTCAGCTGCTATTCAGAAAATAAATAATAATCAAAAGCTTAATAAAAAGCAAAAAGTTGTTACACGCAAAGGATGATTTACATAATCATCTTTATTTGTCCAGTTTATTTGAAGTATGTTTAAAGCACCTAGCAAGGTACTCTTTTAGGTGCTGGAGAGGCAAAGCTAAGAAATACATAGTCATCCATTCTGTGTGATCCCCTTCCACTTCTATAGGGAAATTGGCAGAAGGTGCTAAGACTCATTTGGTCTCTTCATTGTTGGTATTTTAAGTATGATGGCCTTGTTCAGTGACCCAGCAGACATGCTGTTGGATCTGAATCATATCAGTAATCACATTAAACTATAGAAGACATAAGAAAGTAGAAGCTAAAAGGAAGGCTACCTAAAAGGGGAGGCAGATAAAAGGGATATAGAGTTTGTTTGCTATGCACTCAAAGACAAAAATCACTATTTGATGGGGTCCTTGGGAGTATTTCACCTTACAGGGCTCATGTAAGCTTTTGCAAAAAGGATATCATGGAATTAATTGTAGTTTATGTACTAACATCTCTGGATTAGATCAAGTAAAAACATGGATCCATGCTGGAGATGATACTTTCTGGCCTTAGGATATTGGAAAGGGTGCAAGATGACCAAATATTTTGGGGGAAAATAATGAACTGTACTTTGAGAAGACAAAAAAAGCAAAGGATAAAATTAACTTCCAGACCCTGTACCTACTCTTATCTTTATAAATAAGCAGAAAATGCTACATGCACATTGAAGTTGCCACATTTTTACAGTTAATTGAAAATTTAGAGAACTCAAGATTGATTAGGTAAATACTGCTTTATAGACTCCTCCAACAAGATGTCTCTTATGCAAAATATTGCCTTATAGACCAAAGTATATCTCCTCTAGCCAGGTGTTTCCTATGCACATGTATGTGTACTCATAATTTACACAGTAGTGCAATGTAAACTAGACAGTGATATTTAAATGTCAGCTGTTTTGCATACTAAGAGTTTTTATTTCAAAAAATCTCACTAATTGGGGAGGGAGAAAAAATTAAAAGTGCACAATAGAGAACAAAAGAAAACATAGAAGGAAGCAAAGAAAAGCTGATTAGCTTTGAAAACAATGCATAGTATTTATTATATAGGTTTATGGAAATGTATTGTTTTATGTTGAATTCCCTCGTACATTCTCCTGTGTACATAGAAATGTTCTTTTTTTTTCTCATTTTGTATTTAAATTTAAAATGAATAAAAATTTACACAAAAAAACACTAATTTTTGTTGGGGGGGGTTAGTTATTTTGGGTCCCCCTTTACAGTGCTCATCATTAATGAGGACCCTCAGATGCTTTTTTCATCTTTCATTGTCTTAGTACAGAGAAGAATCTAATGATGCTATTTCTCTTTATTTTTTTTCTGTAGTTAATTCAGAATGTGTGTCGTAGGACCAGAATGTGAAGAAGGCCGTGTAAGAAAGTGAAGGCTGCTGCTGATTAGACTCAAGACTGAACTGTGAGAAGAGAAGATTAGGTCTTACTACCCAAAGCCATTCCAAGAGAGCCACTGACAACCCTGAGACATCAGGAGCTATACTCATCATTCTTTTATGTTTGGATGTTAACATTTCCTCTTTTTGAGACATTTCTCTTTTTTTTCACTTGATGACATGTGATGTTTCCGATTTAATGACCTTAATTCTGAACCTTGAGAGAAGTTGGAAACATTTAGTTTCTCATATTCCAAATCTTAGTTTAAAATGCTTCCAAAACTGGAGTGTAATTCTTTATGTATTTATGTGTATATCTTAAATAAACCTTGTTCTGTTTTTATTGTGTATTTTCCTTCACTTACTGGTTAAGGAGATATTCTGTCACATATTATATGAAGTGCCAAGTGCACATGACCATGGTAAAGCACTGTGGAGTTTTGAGCCACAAGAAAACAATTAAGTGAGGCTTCATTTGCTGCTTTCACGAGAGACCTTCCTAGTCCAAAGGTACAATTCCTACTTAAGGCATCCATTCGTGTTCATATCCCCATTTGTGTCATTACTCTGAAATAGGGACTTTTTCACTCAACATAGAGTGAAAATTTGTAGAAACATAAAAAGTTAGCTTATTGATGGATTTCGCTCTGGTGAAAGTTGGCAGGAAGTCTCAACAATTTCAAATTCTATGGTTTTTAGGCCGTCTTTGATTATTTCCAAATGGATGTTGAGACATGAGTGTGCTTAAGTACTGAGCAAAAAGAAATGTTTTTGATGTTACCGAGAAAAGAATGCATTGCTTTAAGTTTTTGGATTCTATTGTTCTTGTATCCTCGATCATATCCACATAACACAGCATGAAATAAGGCAAGTTCTTTAGAAAGTGGTTTTTGATAGATACTAGATTATGTCTTCTCCATATATATGCCCACTTGTCTTAACAGTGTCTCATGATCTTATACATTTGGTAAACTGATTTGGCAAGTGATTTAAATAAAATATTTGCTTACACTTAGGTTTGTTGGTCTTATTAGAATGTAGGATAAACCTGGGACTAACTTTGTTAAGTATTTGGGTCATTATATTAATCAAACCAGGTAGGCTTGAACTACTAACCTCTGAATGTGCCAAGAGGGATCACACCACCAATTTAAAAGATGGCTGTTTTACAGAAGTCTGGACTGCATATCTAAAATCTGTGTTTAAGTGACAGTTCTTTCCTTTAGGAGGTCTTTACCATTTAGGAGGCAAAGATTAGCCACTTACTCAGCTGTCATTATTGATGCAATTCTACCATCTGGTGGTGATTTCTTGAAAGTTATTCAATTTTCTGGGGCACAGTAACATCTTCACTTAAAAGCAAAGGGGTTATTCTGAGAAAAGATTTTAAGAAGCCTTATGAATAAGAAGTACCTGGGCTAATACCTAAGGAATTTGGGAAAATGTCAGTACTTCCAATTATGATCTTTCATGTAAATTATCATGAAAGCTTCGAACATTGGAGGCGTTTTGTCATAATGTAATTGTCACATGTAATATCTTGCTATTTTTATATCTGTGTAGTGTTTTTCCATTTTCCAAGTTACTGTCTAATATGAACATTAAATACCTAACAGTTGGAGAACTAAGACCTGCAAATCCACTTGGCCAAAAAGTCTCTCCTTTCCCCACGCAATTTACTGCTAAAGTTTGTAACTTCTAAAACTGGAAGCGATTTCCTTTCCTGTTGTGAGCAAGCATGGCTACTCAAAAATTAGCCACAAAATTTTGCTATTCACCCTAAGGCATTTAATACTAAATCATGAATAATGGCCTTTAATATATTCAGGGAGATAAAATTTTATAAGAGGCTGAATAGAGTAGTGGATAGAAGGATGGCCTGAAGTTATGAAGACCTGGGGTTTAGTCCTGCCATATACATTGCTTTTGTGACCCTGGGTAAATCACTGTAACCTCCCAGTGCTTTAGCCAGCCATCTAAGACGATAAACTGCAGAGAAGATGCTTACTCACATTGGTAAAGGGAGTTTCCTCATTTAGGAATTTCCTATACCAATGAAACAAAAAAAATTCCATTTGCTTGCTCTTATCAGAAAAAGACAATGTATTTATGGATATTAGAACTGTTTCCTCCTTTCTAAAATAGAATTTCTTTGCTTTGCTCAAAATGGGTATGGAATTGCCTAACTCATGCAAAATCAGTAAAATAGTTTCATTTTTTAAGTAAACACCTTCATACCATGTTTTTTTCCTGATTGCCTCAACTTTGGAAAATTGCAATCATCAAAACCCATTCTCCAGAAGTTGTATATGCTTTGTGTTTTTTGTACCAACACCTGAATATGTCATGGGACATTTTAAAAAATAAATATTGTATACCCATGTCCGCTAAGCCATATTGTTACAGCTGCAGCAGGTAAAAATGAACATCAGTAGCATGAAGCTGCAATTTTGATAGAATTTTTAAAGCTGCTGTTAATGTGTAATGTAAATCCTGTTTAGACCTCGAGGCTAGCTTTAGCTAATGTAAATTGTCTGTAGGAGTTGGGGAGCAAGTGCCTAACCTTGCTTTTATGTATACATATATATCAACATGAAAGCTTGTACATTAGAAAGTGCAACTATTGTAAACTTGACATTTCTTGTTACTGAGGACTATGAAATAATGCCCTGAGATTATTTTATTAATGGTACAAATTAGATGTCTCTGTAACAGATAGTTTGTTCCAATATATTGCCTTGATCTCTAAAACTACAAGTATTCAGCTGAGAGCTGTTAACTTTAACTTGAGTTTAAGCTTCAGGCTTTGCAGATTCCTCTATTCCAAGGCATTGGGTTATAAGATATTTGATTAGTTTTGTTTTTTAGGGTAAGTTTTCATTTATCTAAATAAAATACAATCAAATGGTATCTAATGGGTTTTCTTTCTGTATTCATAATTCAATTTTGAATTATTTTCACTTCTCATAGTAATTACTGATGACATATATTTAAGAGTTTTCCTCATTTTCTGCCACTCAATTAGACTTTTTGATATTCCCCTCTAAGAGCATTATATTGGGTCCATCTGGGCCTATGTTGAGATAAAATAACTAATAGATTGGTGGTTCTTAAGTCACAGATGAACATGAACATTTTAGATGTAGGAAGAGTTTTACTGATCATCATTTCCAAGCATTACTCTACAGGTGATGAAACCTGGGCCCACAGAGGTGGTGATTTGCCAAACATGGCATAACTAGTTCTTTTTAGTACTTATGTAGACCGAAACCATAACATTTTACTGCAAATACTAGCTTTATGTGTTGAAACTGCTATACCTGAGAGTTAAGTAATGGAAAGGACTTTTAAATGTGATAGCTTTTATATTCCCCTCATTTCTAGACACTAATACCATGGGATTGGATCATAGGTTCATAGAATTTGCAAGGGATTTGGGAGATAGATAATTTAGTCCTATGATTATAGCTTTATAGTTGGAAGGGACCTTAAACATCACATCATCTAATGAGTAAACTTGAGGCCCAGGGAGATTGAGATTTACCAATGTTTAAAACTTAAGAAGAGTTCATGTACTGTAAAATCCTCATCTCGCAGATTAAGTTTGTCCAAAGTCACATAATGAGAACCAGTTCTGGTCCCCAAATCAGTGCTCTAACATTGCACTTTGTTAAAAATACCCCTTCACACTTTATAGCACTTTCCCATTCTTTTCATAAGAGCCATCTGGATTAGGCTAGTTAGCTCATATCCCCATTTTTAAAAGGAAACCTGCAGAGCAGGATTTAGGACACACCCAAAAATCATGTTGGCAGAGGACAGATCTTCACTCCTACCTTGGTGCTTTGGGGTGGTTGAAAAGGTAACAAAGGTCCTCAAATAAAGGGGAAGAAAATCCCAAACTCATGTTTGTTTTCTATAAATAGGTTCCTCTTGGTGTCTTGAAAAATCATTAAGTCTGATTTGCATAAAACATTGATGCTTTAAAGGGTCAGCCAATACTTAGGACTTCAAGCATATTCAACATGGATATTTCTCTAGAGCTTACTAGCTTAGAAATGGAAAATATTACTAAGTTTTGTAGTTTCTTCTTAAAAGTAAAACTGAAGACCTCAGCCTCACTGGCTTTTGGTTCACTGTAGATAATGTTACAGGGATGGCAGAGGCAAGTTCAAAATGTCCAAGTACATATTGAACTACCTCAGATTTTTGTCCCCAGAAAAAAAAATAAGCACGGCCTTATCAGGAATCACTCTTAAAAAATGTTAGAAACTGAGAGGTTGTCATCTATTCTAGATGGTGAAGTATGTTGCCAAAGAGGAGCTATGTTTGATATCTAATTGCACGTCAACTTTATCACCCAATGAGATGAAAGCACATACACAGATGCACCTCATTTTAGCACCCCTTCGTAGCAAGTTGGGTGTAATATTTTCCCTTTTAAATGAGTCCTGTTAACTTAATTTAAGAGATGCTTTATCTTAATTTTCATTTGCTCTTAACTGGCCAAAGACTTGTAATGAGTAATGAGAGTTAATTCTTCTTCCAAAACTGGGGTGAGTTAAATGGTATGGGTGAAGGGGAAAGATTAGTGATCTGTAAAGCAATAAACCTGCCTGTAAATACTGGGCAAATCTTTTATAGAGGATATCTTCACTGTTTCCTCTTCTAAAGGGATTTTGGGGGGGGCAGTTTATCCCCTAAATTAAGTTTTATATTTCAAAATTCAGGCTTCAGTATTTCTGTATAAAAAACTGATTACATTTATATTGTGCTTTTGTCCTTTTCAAAACACTTCAAATAAAACTAGTTAACTGAGGGCAGGCATTTTAGGATTGGAAGGGATCTTAGATCATCTTCCAGTTTGACCACATTTTATCAGATGTGATAAAATTAAGGCTGAAGGAGACTAGGTGACAACCATTTTCAAACAAAAATAGCATAGGTGACTTATATCTGCCTTGATTGATGCACAGGTGAAACTATCAGGTAAACTTGTACCCAATTAACAACCAATGAATATCAGGGCCTGGAGAAACCACCCATTAAAAAATTTAAAAGACAGCAATTTCAATGCTCTACCACAAAAAAAAAAAAATTTGCCTAATTTCCCAACTTCTTCCTTCCCTCCTATTATCTGTAGCAGAGGTATTAACAGTGAAATTGCCCAAAGAGAACTGCACAAACTGGGAATTATTCTTCCCTTTGTCACATCCCTAATTTTTAAAACCAGGTGACTGGAATTGTGCAGTGATTTAACCAAGACATTGGACCACCACAGTTGCTAAAATACTCAAACCCCTGCCTTTACACACATCTCAGGCTAAATGTTAGCTTTTTATGACCACTCAACTTTCGCTTCTTCTCAACTGGCAGGGCAGACCTTTCATTTAATCTGCATGGAGGGGGTGGTGCCAAATGGAAAGGAATAACAAGGATTGATGCTGTTTTCCCCCAATGAATCAATGCTATTTGCTACATCATAGAGGTATTGGAGTTGGGAATCTGTGAAACTGGTCATTAAAATTACAAGACAAGTAAACGTCCTCCTGTCTGACTCTCCATTTGCAGTTTGACAATTTACAGATTCTAAAGGGCTTTACCATAACATTTATCTTATTTGGTCCTCACAACAACCCTGTGAGGTAGGCAGAGCAGGTATTATCTCAATTTTTTATATGAAGAAACTGAGGTTTCAAGCTCTGATATTCTCATGGTCAGTTTCTTCCCCTATCAAGTGCCTTTAAAGAACTAGCTATACATAATATTCCATTTAATTAAATCTTTATTCAATGAAATGATGTATAAAAACTTACAAATCTGAGAACTCAACTATACATGAAGGATGATGGGATATTCAGTTTTAAACATATACACAGAGCAGAACTATTAGATGTTATTCCTCTCCCCCTCCCCACTTTACTTCTGTCATTTTTGGTTCCTACTTTGTCCCCTGAGCCATTCCTATTATTGGCCTAAGGGAATAACGGATGTTATTTACTATTTTCAAGCCAATGAGAATTTCAGGCACAAAATTAAAAAAAAACAAAAAAACCCCCACAACTTGATAATGAACATCAATGCCAAATGCTTATCCCAAAAAGCAGGTGCAGCCATTCACCCATCTTTCTGTATTCCATTCTGATGTTTAAATCTGATATTGACAAGATCTTGACTGTGAAGTAATTGCATGGTAGTTATCATATTCTATTTATATCTTCTTCAGAAAAGGTGAGTATTCCAGAATATAGTCTTTTTTATCCCTTTTGCATTTCTAACGCTATAAAGGAATGTAACTTAATGGCATAAATGAATTCAGTATGGGTAACCGCTGGAACAGCACTGGAACAAGATGTGAAAACATGACATTTTCTCTACTTCCATGTCATTTGCTGTTCAGAAAGATGATAAAATTCTGGGATAGTACTTTTAATCTGATTTTTAAAAACATATAACTAATTTATTTTAAAAAAGTACTCTTAGATTTTTATCTCAAATCAAGTTTTTTTTTGGCTCAACTTGGAAAGAGTTAGATACAATTAGATAAGGCATGTGCATTTATTTACCTGTTTATATCAAACATACATACAAATCTCTCTCAGAAACACACATACTCACAAACTTTCCACATTTTATCTAATATTTTAAAAAAGAAAAGATTGCCATCACATTATTATTTTCTCTTTCAATTTTTTTGTTGTTGAAGGAGATGCTGTAAATAATGATTTTCTTGAATGGACATAATCTCAATGATGCAACCTGAAATAAGACACCTTGAGGAAAATTAAGTACTATAAAAATGTCTTGGGTCTGAAGTTTTCCCACACCACTTAGATTTTAAATAGTACACAGCTGTCTTGGTATGTTTGCAACTGTTATTTTCAAAAAGGAAGCCTTACTACTCAGAGAAAGTCATAATTGTACAATTTTAGATTATCAAATTGAATTTTTATGTACCCTTCATTAAATCCAAGTATTCTTTTAAAATAATCTAACATTTATTTCTTGAATTTGTAAGCACTACTAACCATTATCTGTCCAATATTTCTTTGTATTAAAATTGACGTATTCCAGGTTCTAATGCACAAAAGCCTTTTTTTTTCAGAGGGAGCAAGGGTTGAGAAACGTGAGGGAACGTGAGGGAAAAGGAGAAAGGGGAGAGGAACTGTTTCTGTCATGCCTCGGTGAACTTTATTTGTAGTTTTGGTTTGGGAAGGGAAAGTATAGTCTTGGTAAAAAATGAAAAATGTGAAGTAACACATTTAGTCTAATAACACTGTTTCTTGCTCTTTTTTGATGGAAGCTAACACTGAGTGATCAGGTTCTGTAACTTCTGAGTCCCCGCTGCCCAGGAGGATAGATCTCCCTTCATCAAGGGCAAAAACATCAGAGTTTTGATTTTGGCATGAATGCTTAACCACCTCATTAGGCGTTGAAAAAGTTTTGTCACACAAATTGCATTTGTAGGGCTTGTTGGCGTGTACTAACATGTTGTCCATCTGACTACCTTCCTCAAAGGTACAGAGTTCCAGAGTTTGTTTGTCCACCATTGTGTAAGTGTCTATGCTCTGGTTCAGGCACACATGTCTGGCGGCCTGATTGGCTCTGCAGAAGCTTTTATCACAAGTACTACATTTGAAAGGCTTGCCAGTGTGTATGTACATATGCTCCCTCCAGTGACTTTTCTGAATAAATTTACGCCCACATATTGTGCATTCATATTTTCGTCTTTTCACTTCCCTTTCTTGGTCTGCCTGCTCCAAGTTGTCAATGTCTGCAATGTCTGATGGTGGTGGAGTTTCTGACTGCTGTTGCCCATCAATGATTGGAGAATCAGAAATATGCTGAAGCTCACTGTCACTTATCATGCCCGCTTCTGGCACTTCCATGGCATCTTTTCCTAGTTCAAC